TTAAGGAATAGGACAGATGACTGAGGAGAGACTCTATTCCCTGGTCTGGTTAGCATTAAAAACAAATGCTTGAAAAGCTATCCAAAAGGGAAATGGGGCAAATGTGGCGATATGGAAATGTGAAAATGTAATTTTTGGAGATTTCATGGAATATTTTCATAAACCTCCAGAGGACTGTGAATTTCACAGCATCTGCCTACCTCTCAGTTCTTAGTTAGCTATGCTATTTCCTCACCTCTCTTGTAACAGAGCTAGAACACCAGTGTTTCTAAGATGCTGGCTGAGACTTGTTCTGTTTTGTTCCTTGAATTTTCCAAGTGCTACATATGAGTACCTATCTCGGGAACATGTGAAAAACGCAGGACTTGTTAATCTCCTGGGGAAAAATTTTGAAAACCTTAAAGGATCTATTCAGGCTCCTGGGGGGTGGGGTGGGAGGTGGGGTTATGTTGAATCTCTTACCTTTAAGAATCATTTTTTTTTTCAAATAAGAGATTTTAAAGTTTAAATTAAAGATTTTATTCTTCTGTATTTTACTCCAAAAATGGATTGAGTGTATAGTTCTAGAAATAAAATGGGTGAGTTATAAATTGGGAAGTGGAGAGCAATAATACTATGTAGATTGAACTAGTTCGTAAATCTGGATTTTGTAAATAGATGTTCTGTTGAAATTTCTGAAGTGATCCATTCTTCATGTTATTTTAGAAATATTTTTATTACACCAGCAGGCTAACCTCTGAATGATGAAATAATAAAGTGATTTAGCTTTCATATATTTTACTTTGCCTTGAGAAAAAAGATCATTGAACAATGTTTCACTAAAACTTTAATCCTAAAAATTTGTCAGTGTCCTTTTTAATATACCCACAAATTTAAATGAAGGAACAATTGAATTTTGGATATTGATTGATTGAAAAAATATCCATTTTAAGCGACCCCTCCTCAGATATCATGGAGTGAGAATTATTAGCCACTGTAAATGTATTGACAGTAAATGCCAGGACAGTCCCACTTGAAGGATATATTCTTTTTCACTGAAATAAGCTATCTTATATTTTTCCTAATCTAGTAACACTTAAAACATGGCAAATAATTTCATATTTAAAGTCTTCATCCAGCCTTGGTTCTTGGTTAGCAAGATTAATTCATGATAGTTCTATCAACCTTATCTGATTCATTATTATTTTGTAAAGTAATGTCTTCTATGCCTTTCCTGGCTTTTACCCAGTAACTGTATTTATGGAGCCTCTGGTACAGAGCACCGTCTTTCTTGCTTTGTTTTACATTTTGACTTTATTGGTAGACTCCTGAAATATGAACTAACCTGGTTAAAGGATCTTTCAAAGTCTAATATTTATTTTAAAACTGAATCAGATGTAGAACACATGTAAATAAAGGAATCTCCTTTTCTCTTTCCTTTCTTCTTCTCTTTTACAAGTTCTTCTCTTTTTCTCCTTCCACAAGTGTCTTCCTAACCTCTGGTTCCCCTCCACACACATACACCCTCCCACACACCAGTCCTTTCCTTATCCTTTCATACTGTAAAGGAAGAATAACTTGTACTGGGTTACTTGAATTTATTCACACATTCTAATTACAAATAAAATTCCTGAATGGAGTATTTATAGAACAAGACAATCCGTTGTTTGTAAAGAAAACATATACAGAAATAGAAATTGTTCATAGAGTCAAACATTACTTAATTAGTATTTATTCAAGTGTCAAAAAAGTATTTGAAGTAAAATTGCTTACTTCATTTAATAGTCAGATCTTTACTAATAGATAAATAACATTAAATGAACTGTGTGACACTCTAGAGGTGATATTTATGTTATTCACAGTAGGAATTAATATTAATTAGTAAAGGGTACTTCAGAGTAGTTTAGAAATGATTTTAAAGTGTGTTTTATGGCTAAGGATCTAATCTTAAAAGCAGATTATACTCAGCATGAGCTCAAATTTTTTAAATAGCATAAATTATAAATATTATTAGTTATCCCTATTTCATCTTTTGGGTTAATCCCATTAATTTTAAAGGTTAATTTTACAAATGCTCTAAGGTGTTTAGGTGGGTAAATAAAGGTAGAAAACGGCATGAACTAATAATAAAGAAATGTTTCTCTTCTGTAGTGAATGAATAAAAATTCTAAATGAATACTTAAAACTACTAGTACTGGTTCTGGTAATTCTTGACCTATTCAGGGTATCATTTAAGTTCTATGGGCCTCACTTCTCCCCTACAATTTGAGAGCATTGGGCTTAATGACGAAGGTGTCTTCCTGACTCTGAGTGTTTAACATTAAAATATTCCCTCTTGCTCTATAAACTTAATTTCCTTTGGGATTTTAGGAGTGGGAGGGGGGAATGTCATTCATGTTTGCTCTTATATAGAATAAGGTAGACAAGAAGCTCAATCAAAATGACAGAGTATAATTTCCAAATTTAAAATGTTGTTTTGACTAATGCAATGAATTTGACTTACATATAGGTAGAGGCAATGAGTAGCAGGGCCCATGATCAGCGCAAGTGTGCCCCCGAGACAATATAATTTTCTGCAACTTAAAATAAGCAGCAAGAGAGCATATATTTCCTTAATGGAGTACCACGAGCTTATCAGCTCCTATTAGAATGTTCATTTAAAAAAAAAGGAAGCAAAGAAAAAAGATCCATTTGAATTTTGAAACCTCGGTTAAGTAAAAAAGGTTTTGCATACGTTATATCTTAATGATGCATCTAGAGGGGTTAATTCGATGTTGAAGAGAGAAGTGTTATCATTTATAGAAATGAAAATATTTAATACAAGTGGATTTGAGAAACAAAGATATCATATAGTTTCATTTATTTCCTTTGTATATCAGTCTATTATAAAAGTTTTTGCTCCAGTCGAACAGGCAAATGAAATATAGAACACAAATAATCTATAGTATGTAAAAAGGAGAAAAACAATATACTTTATTTTCTAGAGGAGACTGGAAAGTCAACTAGAAATAATCCCTCTGTTTAAATCCGGCACTTTGTAAAAGAGAACCATCACTATATATTGTCCACGAGATTCCCTGTGAATGACTGGCAATGTGAGGTTACAGTAGTCAGAGCTCTTTATTCCTTCCAAACCCGCTATTGTGCTGCTAATTAGAATTGGATATTGGTGGTAGTGGAAATGAGGGAGACTATCAATGTTACTTTGTGCTAAATTTTAATCACACAAGTTAGGACATTCAGAATTATGGTTTCCATGGTATCCACAACACTGAGCCCTGTGTGAAGGCATTACAGTGGGGGTCTTTGATTAAAAGAAAGTAAACCAGAAGTGAAACAAAATGCTCCATATGTGCAGCTAAAGTTACCAAAAAAAAAAAAAGTCCAGCTCCCTTGTCCTTAATTATATTTGCTTAATAATATGTCACGTGTTTGTGCAGTACACTGAAAGGTCTGTTGTAATTCTCATGTGGATTCTGTGTTTTCATTAGGTTTTAAATGATTACTCTATAGCACCTTTTGCATTTTAAAACTTTATTATTTTCATTTTTAAACTATCTACTGAATTTGACTTCAGGGAACTTAAGACAATTCATGTGAAAGAGGATTTTCTTTCTTTCTTTCTTTCTTTTTTTTACTGATTTTGTTGTTTAAATGTTTGGATAGAATTATACTACTGGGTTTTTGCTTATACGCTTTCAGTTTGAATAATTGGGTTAAGAAAGCTATTAAAGGTTTCATTTTTATTAACTTAATTTTTAGCACCAACATGAAAAGAATCCCAAGCAAGAAATGAAATTAATTAATGTAGGGCATGTAGATCATCAGATCTATAAAAATATTGTAACAGTAAAACATAGATGGAGACACTAGTTACTAAAGATAAAATGTATTTGTACAGGATTTATTTTTCAAGAATACATTTTAGTCAAGAATAGGTATAATAAATATTAAACCATTACGTTATATTCCTTTAGCATTATTTATAGAAATGGAATATTTAGTATATAATGAAAAGCAAATGTGTGTCATACAGATACATATATGTATTATACAGGCATCCTGAGAAATCTTGTTTATGGTGTAGAACAAGAAGGCCTGTTCAGAAAAGAAATTTTCATGTAGTATAGTATTATTTATTGAGCGTCTATTATGGGCTTAGTTGTGCTAAGTTTGTACTTACTTGAGTTTATATCCTCTCAGTTTTTCTGAGAATAAGTATAAAGGACAAATAATTTTCTACAAATTCATCTCTAAATATAGAAAATGCTAATTAGACAGAAAATTCTCATGGAATAGTTCAAAACATGTAACATATATTCAGATGGTAACATGGATTAGGCACTTTTCGGTTCACATCTATTTTTATAAATTCAACACAATTTCCATTGGTAATTTGAATAATCGATGATCCATTCTCTTTTGAAGCAATGGTAACATTATCTACATGGATTGATAGGGTCAATAAATAACATGTTTTCTCCACATGTGAGTTTTAACCAAACTGAGAGCTAACAAGAATTTGGGTAGATGCAAATAAAAATGTTAATAAAGGGATTGGAAAATGTAGCACACATATGGCTACAACAGGCTGCCTAATATCGCATCCCAGAAATAAACAGTTTCAAGCTCAGAAGGATACATGTAGGGTGATGGCACTATAAATTGTTTAGATGGAACAATACACCAGAATCTGTGTTTCCTGTGTGTGCCTGGTTGCCCGCAAAAGGAGAGGGACAATAAACTAGCTGGGTATATCAGGTCCCTTCCCTACAGTTAGTGATATCATTTTCTTCACTTCAGAGTGAGTACAGACTGGCAGATGCCAAGAACAATCATTAAATATGATTTCTCATGAAAAATTAATTTAGGGGAAAAGGTTTTTTTTATCATGTTTTATTCATTCATTTATTAAATCAGTCATTCAACATGTCGTTTTAGTTACCTTATGTATTAGTCTGCTCAACATACCAGAATAAATGCATGGTCTATAAAAATTATTCATTTGAATTTGAAACAACTTACCTGAAAAAAGTTTAGAATCACATCATTTGACACTTCTTTATCCTGGCTTTAGTATTTATTAATATTGAAGATTACTCGACTGAGTATTACTTCTAAGAAGTAGAGACATTCTTTCATTCCATCATTTTTTTTATCACTACCCTGAATGAAAAATAAAAATCTTGATACTACATAAAAATAGTTTAGTCTAAATTGATACTTTTATTCTTTGTAAGAAAAAAAAGTCTGGTTAATATCAGTCAAAAGGGAAAATCTATGTTTTCAATAATCAAGAGAAAAAATATCAGAATCATAATTAATGCCAGACATAAAAAACTTTTGTCTTTTTAGAACTCTTGCAAATTTCAATTTTCTGCAAATTGCAAACTGAAATCTAAAAATATTTGAAATATTAATAAGATTAACATAATCCCTGATTGGAGATATATATATATATATCTGAGATGTAAGCAAAGATGTGGTGAGTATGCTTACAATGAACTCCACTTGACCAGAAGTTCTTTGCTAAACCCTTTCCCAGACTTGATCTTGGAAAGTCTTCATAGCAGCTACTTATATCTTTGCAAGGAAATGGGCTTTCACTGAGGAGGGAATGTAGATGTCAAGAGTCTTTGGAACCATTGCTACTTGTTTACTATGGAGAATATAAAAATATTGGCAGATTAAAAAACAATTATCATTTTCCAGTGCATAAAGGATTCCTTTAGGAAAGGAAACAAAAAATGTCATATGCTTTGACAATTTTTTATGTGTCAGCAACTTGGTCTTAATTTTAATTGGTATTATAGTAACTACTTACATATCCCAGTACTGTATGTAAAGGGCACAATTCTGTAAGAAGTACTATTTGTAAACTCTTGGTACTGAATCATAATTATATTGGTTATGATCTACCTAGTCTAGATACATATCTGTAATAATATACAAAGGGATTCTTTAATTTGAGATTTATGATGAAAATAAAACCTTTAGATAAGATGGACTGAAATATTCTTTGGCATGAGAACTGTCCATTAAGCTGAGTGGAATTCCAAACTGTATTCTGGTTCATATCATTTATTGTAGCTGATTCAAATCTCTTGTAATCCCGAAGTAAAAAAAAGATAAAATGTAAAATTATGGGTAAATTTTGGTGCTGACTATGAGAAGGAGGTGTATATGTTTTAAATTTAGGGCTGTGAAGTGGAATTTGGATCACAGGTTTTGACCCTAACTTTGCCAAATTCTTATATTGAGGGGCTTCTTTGTGTTATATCAAAACAATGTTTCTCACATTGCCAAATGCTAAGCTTTATAAGCAGTGGTTCTCAACCTTCTTAATGCCCCGACCCTTTAATACAGGTTCTCATGTTGTGGTGACCTCCAACCATAAAATTATTTTTGTTGCTACTTCATAACTGTAATTTTGCTACTGTTATGAATCGCAATGTAAATATCTGATATGCAGGATGTATTTTCATTGTTATAAATTGAACATAATTAAAGCATAGTGATTAATCACAAAAACAATATGTAATTATATATTGTGAAATATTTATTTCTAATTACAAAAAAATGAAATTTTGTCTTGAAGCATGGTGTAGCATGGGTAACAGTCTTAATATAACAATAGTAAGCTACATTGCTACATTTTGCGACAGTATGCGTAAAAAGCCAATCTCAGTGCGAAGGTTGAGATTGCTTCTTTCTCACCAAGTCAGAAATTCTCAGGGCAGTCTTTGCAAGAGCACAATGAAGATCATCTTCCACCACAAGTCTACTTCTGTATTTAGACTTGATAACCAACAAGCTGGAAAACCCTGTTTCACAAAGATATGTTGTTGGAAATGGAAGAAGTAGGCGCAACACAGTCTCAGACAGAACAGGATATGACTGCAAACACTTGATCCAGAATTTTGTAACTGGCATTGTAGAGAAATCAGTTCTCGCTGCATCGTTGTTAATAAGTTCAATGAACTCCTCTTGTGCTGTCTCAGGAACATCTTCAACTT